CAAAGACTCGACATGAAGATGTATGGAGTCATTCGGGAACATGCAGAACAGGACAAATTGTTAGTGGTCCAATTACAGCAGGAAAATCATTTGATTTAAAGCTTCGTTTAAGAATTCCTGTTAGAAGATTCCTTCCATTAGAAGCTATTCGATTTATTCCAGCTTTTGCAGGAAACATTCAGCTTAAAGTAAAGTTCAGTAGCGACGCCTTACAATGCACATCTATATCTGTAAATGATATCATTGCTTTCAATCCAACTCTTAAAGTTGCATTTGCTCCAGATTCAAATCCACCGACAAATAAATTTGTTCCATGGAATGAACCATTCACTATGATAACGAAGGCAGTAGAAGCTAGTGGAACAGTTACTATTACAACTGTAACCCAGCAACTATTTCGAACAAAGATGGATTTTAATGAATGTTTCATTCATCCAAAGTCATTCTCTTTAGACCCTAACATTTATACAGAACTTGTAGAACATTATACAAACGAGGCTTTATGTTTTCCTGTTAAAGTTATGGATTGGATTCCTATGGACGGTTCATTCTCAAAGAATACAGATAGTTCAAGTGCAACATTTACAGCAGCTTATACGCCTATTAATGTTAAAAGTATTTGGGCACTATTTAGAAAGAAAGACAACTATTATGTTAATTTTGAGAACCCTAAGTTTAAATATCTTCAGCTTTCCATGGGAGCTTATGGAAATATGCCTGCAGAACCTGAAAAATCATATGGACTGTATTTTATGAAATGGTTGCGAACGCTTGCAATACAAACAATGATATGATAGGATTTAATGAAGATGTTATGAGGTCATTGGTGGATGATGGTAGTGTGGAACATAAATGGGATAGCTATGACAACACACATTTCTTATGTGGTTTTCCAACAGAAGTGGACTTTTGCTTCCAGCAAGGTCAAACATCTACTGCTCCAATAACATACAAATTGTCTGTTAAAGGACCTATTGAACTAGCAACTGAAAACGTACCAAAGCCACTTATTGGATTTATGAGGGATTGTTGCTTTGCTATTCAGGTGCGTGCTAATGGCATCCCCATAATAAGATTAGATGACTATAACTTAGCTACGGACGACAGTGAGGAATAAAGGATGAACGTTTATTTTTAAAGCTTATAAATGAGTTCTTCATCAAGCTCTCGTGAACCTTCACCATCTATGAAACAAACTTTACCAAACGGTTATGGAGCACCTATTGAATATTTCTTACGAGCTGCACAATGGCAAAGAGCAGTCTCACCAAGGTTAGGTGTTCCACCAGCTCCTGTCAAAAATAGCATTTGGTCAAGTCCTTATATAAGATATGGTCTCCCACTAGGTTTGCTAGCTACAGCAGGAGCAGTTATGATGTTGAAAAGAAATAAAGCAAATGTTGTAAATAATACTGAAGTAGTTGAAGTTAAACAAACTCCAACACCTTCGCCAAAACCAACGCCTTCACAAGCAAAACCTTCAATGACTCCTGAACCTATGGAAGTACAAACTCCTGTTCAAAAGTCAACTCCTAAACCGACTCCAACATTTAAACCAGAACCTACTCCTCAAATAAATCGTAAAACTCCTGCGTTTCCTTACTGAAAAAATAACGTTATTTTTATTTTATTTGAACATTTTATTTAGAGTAAAATGGCAAATAAAGTCACTGAAGCAATGAAACAAAAGTTTTTGGTAGAATACATTAAATCAGGAACTATTCCAGAAGGTTTTTACATTCATACTATGAAGGATGGTAGAGTTCAGTTTAGAAAGATAAAGCAACCATTAGATAGAGAAGGTATATTAAGGAAGATTAAACTTCATGAGGACAACATAGCTGAACTTAAGAAGAAGCTAGAAGAGTTGGAGAAAGGAAGAGAGTTATAAAGCAATGAGAACGTTTATGTTATGAGAAATTTTTAACGTTAGTTTTATTTTTACTGAAAATTTTTATTTGGATGTAATGACGAAACTATTGAGATAACAAACTACAACGGTCATGAGTTCAAGAACTTGTTCTTCGTTCCGCGTGAGAATACATTCTATCAGATACGAGGGAGAAAGGGTAAAGTTAGTTTAAGCATTTATGATAGCAAACATAATGGAAGATATATACAAGCAGTAGATACAAACGGTAAGCGTGTTTCATTAGCTTTGTCAAAACTTATAAACATTAATTATGACAGCGACTTTGACCTATATGAAGAAGAAAGTGAGTCAGAAGATTATGAGCTGTTATGTGAAGCACAGCAATGGGAGGAGTTGCAATACTTTTGTAAGTGAGAACGTTAGTGTGAACGTTAGTGTGTACGTTAGTGAGAACGTTTATTTTTTCATGCACGTGCATTGTGTCGCGTGGAGTTGCCATGGGCAATGACCTGCGCACAATATATAACGTACAGAGAGGTGAGATGAGGTGGTTTATGTGATAAATACTTTACGTGGCAGAAATAGTTTAAGGTTATTAGAAATATTGCATCTGCGATGTAAAATATACGTTAGTGGTTTTGTAAAGTGTCAGGTTGACATATCTTCGGTAAGATGGCGCGCAGTGCCACCGTACTGAAGATATGTATACTAACTCTTCTCTATAAGATACATCAATTTGTTGTAATTTCAAACGTTTCCATTGTTTTGTTTGACCACAGGGAAAGGCCCAGTGGTCATGTATCACAGCAAGAGCTTTGATTTGGTCGTAGGGATTGACCCTACGACCTTTCTTGCCTTTAGGCAATGGGATATTCTGTAAGCTAAATTGATTTTGTAAAAAAGATTTTGAAATATCTAAATATTTGAAATCATTTGATTGAAGGGTTGGGGCGATGGGAACATGGGTGCAAGCTTCTTCCCATGTCATTTTACCTTCTTCAATCTGATTGGAATACCAATTAGGTAAATTCGATCGACATACCCTTTGTAAGGATTCATTCTAATGAAGTACGTTAACAATCAAAATATTCTATAAGTGTCTAGTATGGAATTCAAAAGAATAAAGAAAATGGTAACGTAAATAAACGTATTATGAAATAATTTATAATTAAAATGAAAAAAGAAAAAATAATAAGTAAAGTGACTGGAAATGAAAATGAAAATCAGTGTACAGTTTTATTTTTTTCTCGCTGTGAAAACGTATTCGGTCTTTTTTTTAAAAAATTAATTTTTTGTTAGAGATAAGAGCTAAAACTCGGTAAACAACTTCTTTATGTCTAGAAAATTCTATCTTGCCTTTTATTTTTTTTCTCGCTGTGAAACGTATTCGGTCTTTTTTTTTAAAAACTAATTTTTTGTTAGAGATAAGAGCTAAAACTCGGTAAACAACTTCTTTTATGTCTAGAAAATTCTATCTTGCCTTTTTTTTTTTCTCGCTGTGAAACGTATTCGGTCTTTTTTTTAAAAACTAATTTTTTGTTAGAGATAAGAGCTAAAACTCGGTAAACAACTTCTTTATGTCTAGAAAATTCTATCTTGCCTTTTATTTTTTTCTCGCTGTGAAACGTATTCGGTCTTTTTTTTAAAAACTAATTTTTTGTTAGAGATAAGAGCTAAAACTCGGTAAACAACTTCTTTATGTCTAGAAAATTCTATCTTGCCTTTTATTTTTTTCTCGCTGTGAAACGTATTCGGTCTTTTTTTTAAAAACTAATTTTTTGTTAGAGATAAGAGCTAAAACTCGGTAAACAACTTCTTTATGTCTAGAAAATTCTATCTTGCCTTTTATTTTTTTCTCGCTGTGAAACGTATTCGGTCTTTTTTTTAAAAACTAATTTTTTGTTAGAGATAAGAGCTAAAACTCGGTAAACAACTTTTTATGTCTAGAAAATTCTATCTTGCCTTTTATTTTTTTCTCGCTGTGAAACGTATTCGGTCTTTTTTTTTAAAAATTAATTTTTTGTTAGAGATAAGAGCTAAAACTTTGCAGACAACTCCCCCATGTCTAGCAAATTTAACATTCGTCTCCATTTTTATATATTTGGTTTAGAATGTTCGAAAATGCGTAATATGGTCATTAATATTAATTGAAAAGAACCTTGAATTAATTCAATCTGATCTCACAAAATATTTTAAATTACAAACTTTGTAGTTTGAATAGATAATTAGTATTAAACTCAAATAACTAGTTTATTTTTGAATAAAAATTATTTGAATTTATTCAATTTTGTGAATTTTCCTTCAAAAATCAAGTTTAAATATCTTATTTGCCATATAATTATAAATACAATGAAACATATTCGAAATTGAAAAGAATGACTTTTTCTGTTCTTTCAATCATTCAATTTGAATTTTGCAATATTGGATTTCTCATTAAATAGCTATTAAAAACAGCAAGCAATTTAACTTACATTCAAATTTATTTGTGTTATATTCAATCTTCTCAAAACTTATAATTTTCGGCTATAGCATGATTATATGCTATATAATATAATAAACCTATAATAGTATCATTCTTTCAATTATTTGAAGAGAAAACCGAAAAAATCTATTTTCGGTCTATAACAGTGTTATAGCAACAATAGAAAAATTTATACCAATAATCGCTGTAAATATTATAGATAGTTTCAGAACCGGATATCTGAATGACAATATTTAGACCGAACAATTATTGAAAAATGATTTTTTGAGAAGATTAAAACCGTTCTGATCGTTAAATAATGTGTGGGTAAAACTTTAAAAATACCATATTGGTATTTTAAAAGCAGATGATCAAATAAGTTGAAAAAATATTATTTTCAATATTTGCTCTTAAATTGTTGATCCTCATGGTGTAAGCATTGTTGCTGATTAATTTATTGTCTGATAATTGAATTTCAACTGAAAAGTAAAATTGTATAGCTTTGAAACTGAAGTGGAACTTTTACGATCAGCATTCTGAAACAATGCCCATATCATTGTATCATTCTATATCAAGTATATGGATGAAGTAATGCATTATTCATTTTCCCATCATCTCTCTGAAATATTTTATTTTTCAGGCCAAAATTTTTCATTTAATTTAAACATGAGTCTTGTAAAACGTGGTGAGCCACCTATTGCTGCTAACGTAGAGCCTCTTAATACCTTTGACTCAAAGAAGATCTACAACACATGCTACACTGGAATTGCAAATCACAAGATCGCTTACGACAATACAGATTACGCTGGCGAGCGTGACAAAGCTCTCAATCACTGGTGTGAAGATGGTGTCAAGCCAATGACCCCAGAAGAGCAAGCATTCGAAAGAGAGGTCAACTGGAAGATGGTCAAAAAGTTTACAAAGAAGATTTTCTCTTTAGATCTTCAGCACTTCAGTTTCCCTGTTGCTTACTCCGAGCCACGTTCACTTCTTGAGAGAATGACCGACTTATTCTCATTCTTGGCAATGAAGTACGCTGATTTGGCTGCTGCCGCTACAACTCCAGAGGATCGTTTCAAGTATATCGCCGCTGGTATTATTGCTAGCTTCCACTTATACAACCAAGCCAAAAAGCCATGGAACCCAGTTATTGGTGAGACATATGTTGCCCACTGGCCAAATGGAACAGTTGTCTATGGTGAACAAGTTTGCCACCACCCACCAGTCTCAAGATTTGAGATTTTCGGAAAGGATAACGCTTGGAAGTGCATTGCCCAATGCAATTTCACAATTGACAATGGTATGATCCAAATTACCATTCACCAAAAGGGTCTCTTCTATATTGAGTTCCCAGATGGCGATAAATACGAGTGGGAATTCCCAGATGCTCATGTCCGTGGTCTTTTACACGGAGACAGAATTGTTCGTGTAGCAGGAAAGGTAAAGATCCAGAATGTTGCAAAGAACCTCGAACTTTGCATCCACTTAGCTCCAAAGAAAGATAAGAAATTAGGAATCAATGATTTCGCTTATACACATATCTACGGTGGTATTCGTCCACTGGATACAAAGAAGAAGGACCAGTACACACACATCGTCAAAGGCGACTATTGCAGAAAGGTTTTCTTCGATGATGAAGTTATTTACGATATTGAGAAGGATATCGTACAAAGACCAATCCAGGATATCGATGAGGAAGAGATCCTCCCATCAGATAGCAGATTCAGAATCGATCGCGCTTACTTAATTGACAAGCAGCCTCTTGAAGTAGCTGATAAGGTCAAGGAGTCAATCGAAATAGCTCAACGTCGTGAGGAGAAGTTGAGAATTTGTGTCAAACCATCTAAATAAAGCTTTATTATGAATTCTTTCTTATCATTAAAAAAATTGTCATCTTTTTACCATTAAAACTGCATTAATATGTATAAATAGTTAAGTTTGAATTAAAATGAGTAGTTTAAATGATATTAATGACGAATTTTTAAATTTATTTGAGTTCTTAATTATATCTATTATAGTGGTCATTAGATTTCTTTTTATCGCGAAGTTGGATTTGTTTTTACTCAGTGTTAATATATTTATTATATACATGGGTTCATATGCTACATATTGCTATAGTACTGTTCGAGCTAGAAGTACATACATCCTATTAATGGAGAGCTATCACAAAATAGAGAAAACGCATTCTGCTTTTTGACATTCTCTCAACAAGTTGAAAAATTATTAGAGTTATATTAGCTAACTTTATTGGACCAAATTGCACTATAATGTTAAGGGATATCACTAAATTTAAATAAGAAATATTGATAATACAGCTATGTATTAACTAAACATCTTATCACCCAGCAATGATTAAGTTAAGATTGAAGGATATAATGATGCTTTTCATTCGCACTAGAATTGAGAAAAAGGCATTCTAAACATCAGATTATTCTAGTATTTTACTTAAATCGATATATAGCAAAAAAAGATTGAAAGAACAAATAATGAAGCTTTTTAAGAATTTTTTTCTTTCGGTTGAAATATATGATTTCATTTTCCTCTTCGTTCTTTGATTCAGGAATATCAAATTCGCATGTTAAATTTGTAAATTCTATTTTGATTGTATTTGTTGTATTGTTAGTAAAATAAACTTCTCCTTCTATACTAGGATTACTATCATCAATATAACTGCCATCAATTGTAAGATTACCTGGAGAATTATGACAAAAATAATTTCTTCTACCTGTGTTATTAATAAAATTGCAATTAACTACACTAACATATGCTTCCATAGAACTTATTATTACACTTAAATTATTATGTATATAATTACACGACTTAATCAATAAGGTTTCTGATGAATGGGTAAAATACGTATATACACCTGAACGAAATGTATCAGAATTATTATTAAATGTGGAATATGATGCTCTGGATAAATTATAGTATCCTATGTCAAATAAGCTAATCACAGATATATCAGTATAAGAAATATTGATAGAGTTTATTTCAACTTCTCCATTTTGTAAAAGAATATTTCCTAATACATCTTCATTTAAACTTCGGCTTTGAGAAATAGAAGAATCAAGAATCTTATTCTTAGACTCAGAATTTTCACTAACATCAGCATAACAATACATTCCAGCTCGAACAGTACTTGAGTTTAGACTACAAATTCGATTTTGGACGCACTCGCCTTCTGAGGAGAAAAATACACTTCCTCCTGATCCTTCAGCATTAGTGCAATTATTAAAATTTGTTGTTTCAATAAGCGTTTTCGTTGTATCTTTCGAAGTTCTAAAGTTAATGGCACCTTCTCTGATTAATGAGCCAAAATTACAAAAGCTTATGTAATAATTCTGATCTCCTGAACTAAGTTTTTCGTTTTTCATAAAGTATTTTGTTCCAAGTAATGAACTTTGGAAAAACTCTTTCCATTCTTGATGTAACAATTCTGGTATTATAACTTTCTTGCGGCATTTCAAATTGGCTTTTGATTTTTTGAAGTAATGAAGTTAAAATTGTTTTTCGACCAGAAACTAAAAAAAAGTACCTATAAATGTAAACTTCAGAAAATAATTCTTCAAGGATTCAATTCTATCGGTGTATATGTTTATTTAAAATATGATTTAGAGGTTAGTTGTACACTAGAATTAAGATGAATATAGATTATGAAATCACTAATTATTCTAAAACATATTTTTACTAAAAACAAAAATAAAAATTACGTCATTGATTCGAGTAATTTCTTTGCTTCTTCAGCAACAGTAGGAAAATCTTTGTTATCGACAATCTTTTCCAGTAATGGCTTAGCAATGCTTTTGTGACTTATTTTAGCAGTATGAAGCATTGCCGGTGGATATCCTAAATTTACAGCTGTCTCAAGATACTTTTGTCTAGCGTTAAATTGAGAAAATTTTGCTGCAGCAAATGCGTAAGCTCCATTTGTTGTATCTAGATCTGCGCATTTGATAAATAAATCTCTAGCTTGATTCATATCTTTTTCAACATTATTTCCTTTTGCCAATAAAATAGCGTAATAATACATTGCATGAGTATTATTTTTAGCTACAGATTGTTTAAGATATTCTATTCCTTCTTCTGTTTCATTATTTTCAATCAAAACTTTTGCAAGTTCAAAAGCTGATTTTGAATTATTTGTTGTTCTATATTCTTTTCTAGCTACTTTAATTGCTTCATGAATATTACCTTTACTTGTTAATAGTCTTATAAGATTAAATGTGGCAACTTCAGAACCTTTTTGTGAAGCTTTTTTGTATAATTCTATTGCTTTTTCTTCATCTTTTTCAACTCCTTCTCCAACTTCATAAAGTTTTGCTAAATTATTGACAGCTGCTGGATCTTCTTCATCTTTTGCATTTTCTTTTATTGATTCTATATCTTGTTTCATTACAGAAACTAATATTTTAGCATCTCTATGACCTGTTTCTGCTGCGGCTTCAAGATCTTTTATATCTTCATTTCCAATTCCTCGAAGATAAAGACTTTCAGGGTAATTTTTGCCTTCTGCTTCTTTAATCAATTGGCTTAATACTAATTGAGATTTTGACTTATCTACAGGATAGTCTTCTTCACTAGAATTAACGTTTTGTAATAAAACTCTAAGTTTTTGAGGATTTTTCTCTTTCATGATTTCAGCAGTTTCTGGCAAGGCCTTGAGATATCCTTTTTCGGCTGCAAGTTGCATATATTTATTCTTCTCATCTTGATCGTTTGTATACATTGCATAATAATAACAAGCTCTTGAAAGACCGGAATCTGCAGCAGATTTTAAGTAACGGATTTTCGTATCTTTATCAATATCTCTTCTGATTGCAACATTGAATTGAGCCTGTGGTAAACCAGCTTCCGCCGCTTTGTATAAATAATCTAAATAAGTTTGATCTCCTTTAGAAGCAAGAATCATTGATAAATTAAACATTGCTAATGTGTATCCATTATCAGCAGCAAGCTTATAATAATGAATTGCTTGCTCTGTATCTTTTGGTAATCCATGTATTCCTTTTTCATAAAAAGAGCCCAGAACATTATTTGCTGATTGTATATTAAGCTCGGATGCTCGTGTATAGTATTTAACTGCCATTGCATCATTTATTGTCACGATATCCCCAAATTCATAAAGATGAGCTAGTAGAAGAATGGCATTATTATGGTCTTTGCTAGCTGCAGATTGTAAATATTCAATCCCTTTGCTAACATCTTGTTCGAATTTAATTCCACTTACTAAATATTTTCCAAATAAATATTCTGCATGAGTGTATCTAGCATTTGCAGCACTTTCTAAAAATTTCTTGGCTTCTAGAATCTTCTCTGTTGTATTTTCTTTCAATAACGATCTTGCTTTTTTATAATTTTCTCGAGCCTTTTTCATTTCTTCAGTATTTATAGCTTCTACACCTTGATTTTCGCAATCTTGTAAGGTTTTATCGGATTCAGACATCTACTTGAATAATGCTCAATTTCTTCTTTGAAAAAAAATAATCAACAAGAAGATATTTCTCATTGAATATTTGATATATTTGTAGGTTACATACCACAGTAGAACAAAAATTTTCATATAATTAGGAACCAAACAAAGAAAATGAAAAATAATCTCTCATACAATCAAATTTACTTATTCTGACTCTAAACTTTGCCTATAATATAGCTACTAGCTACTTCTTCCACAGGTTATATTATCTTTCTAATCGCATTTGAATCAGAATATTTCATTTTGGAGTGATTAATTGACAGAACCTCACATATATTAGCTTAAGTATACAGTAATTCAAATCCTTATATTTTAAATGTATTGTAAATATTATAATATGATAATCTTTTTCTAGTTTACAATATTATGGCTTACTGTATTGTGTATAAGCACATCCTTAAAGAAGCATATATTGTGGAAACACAACAATTATAAACACCTCAATAGGAATATAGATCGAAATTCAATAGAACTACAAATGGCTTAATTGAAGCAAATTTTGGTGGATAGTAATATTCTATATTACAGGTAATCATATTTCTGATTCAATCACAAGCAACAGAAATTTGATGAGAGCGCAATTTTGATAAAGCATTCATACAAATTATGGAATATCAATTTGAGAAGATTATTTTTTTGAGAGATAATAAGTGGATTGAATGGATAACTGTTCCAGAAGATTGATGGGTAACTGTTATCCATTCTGGAAACGATGCAATAATGATTTTATCCGCTCAATTTCAGATTATTAATTTTTCGCAGTAAATTAATCTAATACATAGGAATTTAGAGAGTTTTAAGTCTAAAAAGGTGATTGCTGATAATTAAGCAACAAAATGACAATAAATAAGATTTGAAGAAAGGAGTTAATGAAAATAAGAGATGTATTAATGAACTTTATTGATATTGTTGTAAATGAAATTCATTTGGTTGAAACGAAAATCATTGATTGAAAATTGAAAAGAAAGAAAAAGTTGATAAAGAATTTAACAAAAAGTGATTTTTCTTTAAGGTTTTTATCGTTAGGAATTCAATTATTTGAATAATGAAAGTTATGTTGTCCAAACAACTATATTTAAATTTCTTATATTGATATGATTTTATGACATTTATATTTGAGAATTGATTCGAAAAAAAAATCCTTAATCGATTAATCGATAGGAGTATATTCTACCATACATGTATAAATAAAATATATCACCTGTATTAATGAAAGCTCCAATTTTGGTTAATTTTCAATATGAAAATACTTGAGAATTTAATTTATGATATTATTTCTTATAGGATAAATAACGAAATATCAATTCAATACTCAGTACGACCACCGCAAAAATTATCTCAATGTTTACAATATAAATATTTTTAAGATTTATGCATATTAGGATCAACGACATCGATGTTAACCAGTAACAGAAATAAAAACGATAATTCATTCTTAGTAAAATTGTAAAACCAATAAATCGATCATTTTGTTCCATTAATATAAATGTAATGATAATATTGTTTCGATTTGATTTTATTAACAAACAGTGAAAAGCTGAGATTGAGTAGTTATCAAACCAAAAATTGAAAATTCAAATACTATTATCATTGTATGTATTACAAAAGGTCATATGCAATTGAATGTATCACAAAAATTGATATGTTTACTAATTTTTGCTAAGCAAAATTTGAATTGTCATTCAAAATTTAAGGCAAGTCTCAATATTTCATTATATATTGAATGATTCAGATTATATTGTAAACTTTCACAAAATTTCTTAAGTTCCAGTGAAATAATTCTGATGACTATTTTACATTTCAAATATAATTAAGATGTCATATCCCATCGGAAATTATCCTCGTCAGCCACAGGCGCAACCTATCCCACATGCGATGCATCAGCAGAGGATGTATCAGCAAGCAAGTCAATATCCTCAACAACAGTCTTATTACTATCCTTCGAACCAACAGTATATTCATATGCAGCAGAACGTTCCACAATATCAAATGGTTCAATACCCCCAGGTTCAACAACCAGCTCAAATGAATTACATACCAGATCCAGCCTACTTGCAGCAAATGAAAATGGCAACTCAGCAACCACAACAGCCCGTTCAAAGATACCCTCAACAGCAAGTTGCTTATGCTCAACAGCCAAAGAAAAAGGTTGATCTTCCGGCTCCACCGCCTCAGCCCGCGATTTCTTCTCAGGTTTCAACTCCTGTGAAGCAACCACAGCCACAATATGCGCCAAAACAATTTGTTGCACCTCAACCAGCACCTCAGCAAATTGTACAACCAAAACAACAGATAGTTCAGGCTCCAAGTACGATTGACACAACCTCGTTAGCCAAAGCTCCAAATCAACCTCAAATACATTCATCAATTCCTCCAGGTTGCTTTAATATTATCAGTCGTGGAAATATTCCTGGTATAACGTTTTCTCATATTTGTACCGATAGATACGCGTAACCATATCATTACTCATAATCGGCTCAAATAGCTACTATTTGGGTAATAGGATAATGTATTTTTACCATTTCGATTCACTATGGATATAATAAATTTTACTATCTGTTAAATATTATATATTGATGTTAGAAATTCCTTCCCTTTTTATTAATTCTTTTTTCACTGTGAGAAAAAACGATCGATTTCTAAAAAATAATTTTACAAACAACATTAAATAAATAAAAGGATATATGAATAACAAGAAATTTTGTACCCTAAATATTTGGGAGAATTCTTCGAACCCCTATTTTTGGACAACAGAAATCAAAATAATTTTGTTGAAGTGATAGGTTCGTCTATGGCAGATTGTGCATCTTCTATAATGGTATCAATAAGTGTTTTCGAATGGTTTTCGCATCCAAGCATGTTTTCCAGTTCAATTCTTCGATCAGTGAGATTTTTGAGCTCATTGAGTTTTCTCTCAACAACATCATTGTATTTTGTTGAATTAATTTTCAGCAAATGACTCCTCTGGTCCTTGAGTTCATCTAACTTTAAATTTGAATCAAAAATTTTCTGATTTATATCATCTATTTGAAGTAGAAGTGTATTGGCATTGTTAGACTGATCCAAGAGCCAATTCAACTTCTGCATCTTAGCTTCATATGAATAAATATCGTCTGCTTTCAATTCTTCCCAATCGCTTTCAAATTCAGTGATAATATTTTCATATTCGTGCAATTCTGATGATCTCCTGTCAAACTCATCACACTTCAAAAACAAACTGTCTGTAATATCGTTTTCTATTGCATCTTCTTCAAATGAGCATTCTGATGGTGATATTTCACTTGTTTCTTCTTGTGTGTAACTTTCTTCCTCGGCGTTTTTCATTGATGAAATTTTATTTTCGAGAAATTCTTTCTTCTGACTGAGTAAATTAACTTCATTTTGCATTTTTTCTGTATCAATCTCGATTTTCTTCAATTCTTCTAGTGCATCTGCTTTCTCTTTGAGTTTAGCGATGATCATATCTCTTTTTCGTTGTAAATCAGTCTTCTTTTGACGTATTTCATCGATTTCACTGTTATAATTGTGATTTTCGATATTGTTTAGTTGTAATTCATATTTGTGAAGATGATCGTGAATTTTATTTCGCATTTGAGACATTTTTTCTACTTTATGTGATAATTTTAATAGAACAACTGCTTTTCTGTAGCTATCTGTTGTTTTCTTATATTCATTTATCTTTTGTTTTCGAGTATTTAATTCTTTCTTCCGAGTGCATTGATTAATTCTTATTTTAAGTATCTCCCTGTGTAGTAGGTCTGTACTTGTTCTCATTTTAGAATTCACTTTGCGTGTGTGTTCAATTTGTGCTATAACATTTTCCATCTAAAAAATTCCTCTGAAAATTTCATCAATAAAATCTTTTTCATTTGATGTAGGTCCACAAAATCGTAACGATGCTTTCTTGATTTTGGTGTTGGATTTAGACTACGTAGATACTTGATGACTAATAGACGAAGAATGGAAGAAAACTGCAAGAGCGATTTCGAGATAATATTATTAAAATTAACATTCGATTCTTTGACCTGCAAATAAACATATTTGTACTATTAATCGGTTTTACAGAATAGATCTTGCGTTATTGTATGTTTTGAAAAAGAATCGAGGATTTTTCATAAGATACTCATTTTACGAAATAAAATGATATACTATCTACGAGACATTTGTGTATTGCTTCCAATATGTGGCTAGTAACTACAGAAATTGTAGTTTCAGGAAATTTGAAGGACATTTGGAATCCTAATAAAGACATTGTAATATTGAGCATCTCCTATTTCAATATACTATAATGATGAAAATATAAATTCATGTAATCTGTCCTTAAATATGCTATCTAAACCTGTGATTGAAACTCGATTTCATCATAAAACATGAGAAGATTCCAAACTGTGAAATAAAACGAACATTTTCACATATGAGACAACAACCATATATATTAGGTTTCTCAATGCTTCATTTAAAATTCCAAAAAAAATTCGAAATTTTGAAAATCATGAGAAGAAATACAAATTTTCCAAGAAAATTTGCAAAATGAAAAAATTTTGGATTAATAAACATTATTTATTTTTGATTCTTGTTCCAAGATTTGTCATTTTTCCCTTATATGATATGAATATTTTGGATTATTATTATAATTTATTTTTATTGACATATTTCATGATATTCATATAATAATCTGTTTTAAAAAATGAATGAGAATATATTTATTTTAAAAAAGAGAAAAGGTATTAGTATAGATTTTTATTTGAGTGCATTTAAAAGGTTCTACTTCAAAAAGTTTATGTAGTTTGCTTTTGTAGGCGACATAAAACTACATCTTCAAGTTATTTGTTGCAATTCGCAGGATTAATCGTGAATTTTTGTTGTATAATAGTTTTTAGTAGATAAATTCGTCATGTTCCCGTTTGTATCTCATTTTGTTTTTTGCTTTATTGATGAAATTTCAATTTGTTGAGTGAATATCGACAATTTTGTTAAATCTTGTTTTAAGCGCAGCAGTAATATTTAGAGTCTATTAATTATATCTAGACTTTCAGAATTTTGCATTATTTTTATGGTTGAGGTTAGATCAATCGCCTAACCAAGTAACGAATGTATGTAAAATGACTTTTTCTCGAAAACGGTCTTGCAGATTTTTATGAGAGTAAGACATCAATATATACAACAATTGGGGATTAATTTTAGTGGAGTGGCTTACGATTTTCATCGTTCAAAGTATCGGGGCAAATTATTAAATTTTAAGCTATACAATTTCCTTCGTAAAGCTTTATATTTTGAAAGAATAGAACAATTGGATATATTCTTATTAAGTATAAATGACATCGATTTTAAATTGCATATATGTCAACACTGCTTCTGACATTAATGTAAATACAAAGTACTAAACTACTATGCATGAAGAAAACTTCAATTTCTCTCCACAATTAAGAGAAGTTTGGATTTTTATTCCTGAGAAAAATCCGCTTGAAGTTGTTCATGAGAATTTTTTTCCTTGCGAAATAACGTATTTTTTGTGGAATTACTTTCATTTGAGTGTTTCAGATTGATAAGGCTGTAAAATACATATAAAATTTAGTAAAATCTCTGCCAGAAATGATTCCGCGCAACAAAATGTTTTTTCGTTCTAGGTTAAAAGCGGCTATATCATTTTCAATTGCTTTTGTTACCTTGTCTCTATTCGCAATATTGGCATTCGTTACGATTTCAGATCAAAATCTCAATCCTGAAAAGAAAATCTTAAATATAATCAAGAAAATGACATTACGTCAGAAGATTGGTCAACTCTTTGTTATTGATATTCCGAGCGAAATACTATCGCAAGATGATTTACAATTTATTCAAAATCGAGGAGTTGGAAATTTTATTTTAATGGGAAGGAACTTACGAAATCAAGAGCAAATTAGAAATCTCACCGCAACAATACAAAATTATTCATATAACCAATATAATCTTCCTTCATTAATTTCGATTGATCAAGAAAGTGGAAGTAACATTCGAATGTTCAGGAATTCAACTGTATTCCCTTCTTCTATGACAATAGCAGCTACTAATAACCTTGAAAATGCCTATAAATCTTCATATCTCCAAGCTCTAGAGTTAAATGATGTTGGAATTAACTTGAACTTTGCTCCTGTTAGTGATGTTAACAGTAACATACATAATCCTATTGTTGGTGATAGGTCATTTGGTGATAATCCGAATGTGGTCAGTAAATACGTCCAAAACTACATAAAAGGTCATAAAAAGGCAGGAGTATTGTGTTGCTCAAAGCATTTTCCAGGTCATGGAGAAACATCTCAGGATTCACACTATGAATTACCAAGAATTAACAGAACTTTTGAAAGTTTGAAGGAAATTGACCTTCCACCCTTCAAAGCATCGATCAATTATGGTGTGGACATGATTATGTTGGGTCATTTAATCACCCCACTTGATGAAACGATGCCTTGCAGCACAAGTTCAAAATGTATAAATTATTTGAGAAATGAACTTGGATATGAAGGAGTTACAATAACAGATAGCATGGTTATGAAAGCAATTAAGCAAGAGAAATACAATGAAACCATTTTAGAAGCTATTTTAGCTGGTGCCGACTTAATTTGCAGCTGTGGAAAGGTATTTGAGCCATTTCAATATTATACTATTGATTATTTGATGGAATGTGTTGAAAAAGGTCTTCTTCCTATGAAAAGAGTTGAAGAATCTCTCAAAAGAATTATTAAGCTTAAATTGAGCTTGGAAAAGGTTGATCATGCAGTAGATTACCAACATAATTACGAAATAGCCCGTAATATTAGTGAAAATGGAATTACGTACTTCAATGACGAAAATCAAAAATTAATTCCACTAAATAATTCACAATCGTATATTTGCATAGAGTCAAACTTGTCAAAAGAGTATATGCTTGAAGAATACATAAAGGAAAGCTTTTGTACGCGATTATCAAAAATTATAAATTTGAAGAAATATGTTTTCGACAAGAAAGTCAGTCAAAATGATAAAGACCAAATAAACATTTTGGCGAAAGAAAACAAGACAACAATTTTTGTTCCTTACAAATCAAGGTGGAATAAAGAGCAAATCCAAGTAATCAAAGAGTACTACAATGTCAACAATAATGTTATCTTAGTTTCACTCTCTGATCCATATGAATTCTTGGATTTCAAATTTATTCATTCAAAAATCATTGGTTATGAATATTCTCCTCTCAGTCTGTCTGCATCTGTCAATGTCATAATTGGTGCTAATAAAATTAACGCATCAATACCTTTCAATGTTCCAAATAATTTGTAATTTAATTTCTTATTATATTGTTATTAATATTATTGTAAAAATTTCTATCTATAGATTATTTCTCTATGATTGTTTACTAATCATTTACAAATGTCAAATAATAAAATCAAGGCTGAAATTTTGAGCCGAAATAGATCATGGAAGGTCAAAATTTGTGCGTCCTGCTAGATTAAAACAGATTTTAACTATCTTAATATGTAAGTTCAATTCAATAATAAGTACTCATGTCTGAAGTAAATATATTCCTTTAAAAATTGATTCATAAACATAAAAACTATATAAACAATTTACAATAACAAAAAAATTATGGTTTTGGCATATCATTAAGACGTGCAGGTATATATTTCGGCATAATTCGTGGTTGAGAGAGTCTTCTATAACCAAGAGCTGTTTGGGGTGTTACGAGATTACTTTCCATTATTGGATCTTTTCTTATCAGAGGGAGTTTTTCACCTCCAATATTTCGTAAATTATTGAAATATGGTAATTCCAATAACTGTGAAACTGTTGGACGCTCATTTGGATCTACAGTAATACATTTTGTAATCAAATCCCTTAAATGTCTGCTATCTATAATTTCTGATGGGAACTCACCTGATTCTATCTTTTCGATAAGTTTATTTTGGTCATTTGAGAAGAATGGATATGTATTCGTAGCAATATAGAACAAAGTAACACCGAGAGACCAAATATCTGCAGCCATTGGGTTATATGAGGCTTTTTTGAAGATTTCCGGAGCCATAAACAATTTTGTGCCCTTAAATTCCGAACTTGTCGGATTTTCTGAATATATCTTGGATAGTCCGAAATCTGTAATCTTGACGCGACCATACTTGTCTATTAAAAAGTTGCTTGGTTTGATATCACAATGAGCAATTTTTCTGTCGTGGCATGCTTTAACACATAGGATTACATCGTAAACATATTTCTGTAACTCTTTGTTACTGAGCATTTTGCTATATCGTAATAGTTTTTCAAGATCATTTTGACAATGTTCCATAAGTAGATAAACGTAGCCATCGAATTTAAAGTATTTATATAGACTAACGATTTTTTGATCATCGAGTGCAATTAAGCAATCAATTTCTGATGCTGAAAACAATTTTTCGGGAATTCGTTTTAATGCAAAATTACTTCCATATTGAGTGGAGTAAACTAAGTAAACAGTTCCATATGCACCTTTTGCAATTAGATTTTGGCATACAATCCCGTTGTTTTGGAAAAATTCAACTTCTTTTTGATCCATATTTGATTTTGATGAATGGTATCGAAAATTGACAGACGCCTGTTATGAATTTTAAACTATATATTTCGAATGTACCATGTTGGATAATATATGTTCGATATTTGTCCCAGAATTGGTTTCAATTCACATTGAAATTTTGTTTAATTTGCATGTTATTCGCTTACTGATATTCTCTATTTTGGGAGTATTTCCATAAATTATCGTAGTTGGTCTGGAAGTAAAAAATTGAATCAGAGATATATTTACATCCTTATGACAATATAATATATTATTAGCATTATTAAAGTTAGAAAAATTGAATTTTGTTATCGGAAAGTTTGTTTTGTTTGAACTTCACAAAAATATAATGTATTGATATGATTTTTATTGAGATTCTGTATGATTTGTGATGTATATGATTTTTGTTATTTTTCGATGAATAGATTTTGAAAGAAACTGAAAGTCTCATCACACTTTTCAATGCTCGATTTTTAAAAACTGTTTAAAAATGGAGCTTATATTGAAAAGTGTGATGAGACTTGCAAAATTTACAATCATTTTAAATTTTTGTTATTCATTAATTATTTCTAATAGTATTTATTTTAATAGTAATTATTAAAAAAAATATTTTCGGATGTCATCGTTTATATTCGATGATAGTATTGAATGAAATTTCAAATTGTAAAGCTAATTGAATATTCCGAACTATTGAAAACCTAAAATCAAACATTTTCAGAAAGATGAGTTCATATTATTGCCACAGTTACAAATTTATAATTATTTTTGTAAATATTTAATCTTTCACAACTTTCAGAAACAACAGCTTTGAAATTCGACATATATATTCTTTATTTTGGTTAATTAATAACTTTACTTTATATTTTGTTGAATAAATGTTTGAATGGGCATAAATTTTTTTGAGCAATAAGAAATTGGAAAATAATTTTATTGAATTCTTTAGGATCCAGATTCTTATCCATAATCTCATTTGTTACCGCACTTCAAGATTTTGGATTTCCTCTTTCAACTTTGAATATTCGATATTCGCCCTAAACCTGATAATATTTCTGATTTATAAATGTTTTATCATCACACTTTATTTTCCTTTGATATATTAACAGTATTCAGACGATGTCTTTTGTATAGAATCAATATTATCCGAAAATCATTAACTAAAAGTAGTTTAACTATAGCAAATGTATTTCCACGGGCATGTTATAGATGAGAAGTCTCTAAACATTCTTTTCTAGTCGACAATAAACTTTCAAAAAATATACAGAAAAAGAAATGAATGCTAAAACATCGGGTTTGTTTAAATCTCACTTTAACTAATTTGGATTCAAATCGTTCGTTTATGCAATCCGATGTAACTGATAAATAAAAATTGGGTGTCGTAATAGTATCTGACAGGTGTCACTTTTTTGTGTTTGTAACAGATTTTACAACAGATGACTGAAGTTTCTCAACCGCAATCTCCACGTGTGAGAATTGCCCCTCGAGGCCATAATTCATCTGTTAAAATTGAGAAAAATAGGCCAGCAATGATCGAAACTGCGCCAGAAGAAAAAGGAATGGATGAAATTATCAATCCTCCTTCACCGCAATCACCTGAGGAATTAGCTAACAAGGCAATCAATACTCTCGATATCGAAGGGATTACAATTCAGAACTCAAAACCAATTGTTGCAATTATCCATAACAAAAGATATCAAGCTATGACAATTGGAATGATGGATGTTGCAAAACAATGCGATGCTGCTGCTAGAGCAGTCCTTGCTAAAGTTGGTTCGATGAAAGAAGAAGCATCAATTTCTTTGAAATATAACGATCTCGAGCAGAAATTAACAGCGGCGCAAAATGACTACGATCAACTAAAACTTAGATGGGATCAAGTCATTTCAAATGCCGAGAAGAACAAAATAAAAGAATTAGAAACATTACAGAAAGAAAACGAGAAAGAACTTGCAGATCTCGATAGTACATTCAATGGTGATCCACCACCATCATTCAAAAAGCTTTCACCTAAGATTGTTGAACTTCGTCACACAATTTACGTTACAGGTAAATCTGGCAATCTTAAAGAAGCAAGTAGGCTGAAACAGATGCTTGAAGAGATGATTGAGCAAGAAAAGGCACAAAATAGAGAAGAATGGAAAGCTGTTTTTCATATTGAAAGAGATGAACTCGAAAAGAGTTTAGATCAAAAATACCAACTACGTATTGAGCAATTAGATAGAGATCTTATTAAGATGAACAGATATAGAGACCGTGAATTGCTTCGTGCACAAAGATCAATTGATCATCTCCAAGAAAAGTTAGATAAACTCGTAAATGAGCCATTAGATGATTCCCCACGAATACCAAGAGCTCCACAAACAGCTCGTGTCCCAAGAAGAAATATGTTCTTCAAGAACAAATCATCAAGTATCATAATTCCTAAACGTGGTGCAATATCAAAGCCATCAACTCCAAGAACTCCACGCAAGAGAGCTAACTATGCATCAAATTAAAATATTGTGTTTTTGTTTGCAAATAAAATTTAAAAAAAAATTTAATAAACTCAAGTGAATTTATACAATAATCAAAAATGTTGATATGTCTAATGGCAACATTCCAACCATGAATCATTAATCGGACCTCTGCTAGGTAAGTTAATGATGTGATGATCAATTGTCTCAACTTAACAAATAGCATGAAAGAAGCTTCTTTCATCTTTGACTGTTGAGAAAATAGATAGAAGTTCTGTTGGGAAAAATCAATGCATTTTATTCATGTTTTAAGTACAAACCTATATTCCAATTTAGAGTATCCATATCTCAAGTCGAGAGATTCATAGGATAATATGGAAAGGGTCATAAACTATATTTAATTTCGATGAATGTCTACAACATTCTAAATGGACTGTTAAGAGCTTAAGGATGCACTTACCACTTTCTGACACTCTTTCAAAAAGAGATATACAGGCGTGAAGAGGTATAGAAAATAAAACCTTAAACAAGAAATTTGAGAGAATGTCAGAAAGTGGTAAGCGCACCCTTAATCAATCGGGAAAAAAGTAATCCGACCAGCCGGATTTGAACCAATGACTCCGGGATAACCACAATTCTACAGTCCAATGCTCTAACCAACTGAGCTATGGTCGGTTTACATTTTTTAGCCTTTATTAGCTTTTATAATAATAAATAAGTACTTTTTCAAAATTTTTGGTAAAAAATTATATTACAGCAGACGAATTATGACATCATATCCAGCTATTGAAGCTATATACATTGATCTTAAATGTAAATCCTTCATTAAGTAAGAATCTTGAAAATTGTTTTCAAATCTTTCTTTTATAATACCTTATAGACAAACATCATCTGATTTTCATCTATATAATTCCAAATAAAACATGATTATCTGCGCTTAATAAGTTCATTTCATTATATACAAGGATGTTTTTATAATAATTTACAATCAAATGCATATAGATATAAATTATAGAAACCAATACACTATATATTGATATTCATCAACATTTTTTAGCTAATTTCATGAGCAGTTCATACGGGTCTGCACATATTAATCAAAAAAAATAAAAAAGTAATCCGACCAACCGGATTTGAACCAGTGACCCCGGGATAACCACAATTCTACAGTCCCATGCTCTTCCAACTGAGCTATGGTCGGTTACATTTCTATTGAAATATTTTTAATTAATGAGGAAAATTTGATAAATCAATTAATTTGAAAAAATATAGATCAAATCAAAGCGAAAATTGAAGACATCTTTGAATTTGATATAAATTTTAAATGATTAGGCCATATATTTATTAAGTAATTCGGTGAGAATCTCAATCAAATAGAGGGTTTACGATGAGATAACCTTAAATTTCCCTCTCCTAAAATGCTTCATATCTCAATAAATAAACATTGTACAAAAAACAATGAAAGAGGGAAAGTTTGGAAATAGTCCATAGTAGACGTTATAACAAAACTTATGAGATAAGACAAAGAGATTATTGAAATACCCTTTAATTCCTGGGTTGTCAATTTTTTGGGGGCCTATGGAGAAATTTACTTTATCAATAGCGCACCATAGATTCGAATCCAGAGCCTATAATTCTAGAAGTAGATGAAGGTACCCTAGAATAACTATGTGGTGTAGTTTTTATTGCTATTTAAGATATCACATAAAATATATTAATCAAATAATAAAAATTTCAATAAAATTAAATAATTGTTATTTTTATATAGAGTAGATATTATTTCTATATTTAGATCGAAAAAATAAATAATTCTGAAGTACTAGTAATATTCATCCATGATGATTTATTTTTCAATATTATACAATAAGAAATATATTTATAAGTTTTTTTTTGAAAAATGTTTAAAATTGAGAGATCAAAATTTCGATTTGTGAAAAGAAATCATAAATCAAATATGTCCTAATTTTTGTTTTTATTAGGGTATACATGTTTTATACTCGAAGTACGGTATGTTGTTGTTTTTTTATTCAATAATTAAAAACTTGCATACAGGTCGTAAGGTGTTGGAATATCGTACACAGAGGTTACGCACATGTCTAGGGCAACTATTTGTTATGAATGAGTGTATTTTAAAAGATTTGAAATATCATAAGATTGATCCAAAATGGCATTATAATAAATGTTTTTATCCAATGTTAATTATATTTTAAATAAAGTAATGCAAAATTAATGACTTTTGAAAATTGAGAGAGAGAACAAAAAATAGAGTTTTTAAAAAACTAAATGTTGAAATAGTTTGAGATATCAATAAAATTAACATTGAAAAATATTAATCAGAATAAATACAAAAATTGGGTATCTTATTGAAAAAAAATGTGAAAAAGAGTGAAGATCAACCGAAATTTTATATTAATATAAAGGATATAAAAGAAATGTGAACGTAAATAAATATAAATTAAAAGATATAATTAAAATTTTTAATAAAGTTGAATCAAAGACAACAATTGATAGACAATTGTTGTCTTTGTGTACAACATTCACTTGAATTATAAACAATAACAAGTGTTTGTTGTTCACTGAGCAACTTTGAGAAGAATCATTTGTGATTCTTGTCAAAGTTGAATCAAAGACAACAATTGATAGACAATTGTCGTCTTTGTGTACAACATTCACTTGAATTATAAACAATAACAAGTGTTTGTTGTTCACTGAGCAACTTTGAGAAGAATCATTTGTGATTCTTGTCAAAGTTGAATCAAATTTTTATTTATTTCATGTATTTCTTTTTTAATATCGATATTCCTATTATTATTCTACCGTTTATTAATAAAAATATTTCTTGCAAAACCTTAAAAATAAAATTTTGGATTCTTCCTTCTCATATACTATACCCTTAGTTCTTTATTTTTAAAAATCTTATTTGGCGGTTACTCTCAATTTTCTCAATTTTCTGAGCAATGAATTTACTTTTTTATATCAAATTTTAATGAATATCAAATCTTATAAACAAGATGTTGAAAATATTGATATTGGTGATTGTGTCTCCAAGATACCATTTCCTGTTGACAAAATAGATGCATTTGACGAAAATATCCTTGTTTTTACCCGGATTGTTATTTATTACGACTTTAAAATTTTAGCATTAGAATCCGATGATACATATCTATGTTATTTTCAATGGCAAAACAAATCAACACATAATAAACAAAAGAAAATAGGTACATTATTGTATTCTTTAATGAATAACGAAATTTCACTAGTAGACTTTATAATGCAAGATCAACAGTTCTCTCTTAACCGTTACATATGGTGGTGTCTAGACCAAAGCGTTCCAGAATTCTTCAATCAGATACTTTTCATTGTTTTTACGCATTTCGATCAAGATTTTATCTTTTATAGCGGTCTTTTTTCAAATATTATTGATAATTATAATGATTACAATTCTAGCAAGAAAAATTTTTTCGTTCAGATAATTTGCTATTGTATCTTAAATTTCGAATTTTCACAGAACGATCAACAAATAATGTACCACTTTTTATTGGAGGAAGGACTACTTGAATCATTTAATAATAACAGTCTAAGATTTAAAATTGATTTATTGTTGGCTCTTGAAAAATGCTATTGCATATTCGGAAAGTATGATTTTATGCATGACAAAATTGAATTAATAGATTTATCATATGAGAGCCAATTATTCGAAGAAAATTGCCCAAATTTCTTAGAATACTTGATTGAATTAACAGATGAGGATGGTTCATAGAAGTTTATATGAGGATTTACTTTGAATAAATATAATTTTAATGAATTAAAAATTAATTTTATATATTTGGCTATTGTTATTATTTTTAGAGTATATGAGTTGGGGCAAAGTGAAACAAATTTTTGACATAAAAGAAAGTCTTTGAAGAGAGTTAAAGAGAAATTTTTAAAAGATTAAAAAAATAGCATATATAAAATTTAAGGATTTGATATGGTAAGGAGATATTATTTGTGACTGTCTCACAGAATGAGACGTTTCTCTACAATCTTCTTATTCCACATTAATTTTCTTCTCAAATCAAGTTTTTATAGTATACTAATTTTTATTATGAATATACTATAGAGGCATTACATACAAACACACCTATTCATCACAAAAATTCACCTAATCTTCCAATCTGTATGTTTTATCAATTGTTATCATTTCATATAATAACAATTTATATGTTTGACTAATCTAATTTCATATTTTCCTATTAAATACTAATTTACACAAAAATGGTTTTATCAAATCTTTATGAAGTTATTAAATTCCAGATTATATTGCTTACTTTGCAAGCTAACTATAATATAGTGTGATAGCCTTATTGAGCTTTGATCAAATACTCCTTCGTCCGTTAAAAATTAAGATGCGTTTAAAAAATCGGAAAAAAATTCTTTTGTTTTATTTTTAATTTTTCAACCGATAAAACTTTTTAGAAAAACTCCAAATTCCAAGAAATGCTTAGATTCAATATGAAGAACATATTCATACAGTCATTTCGTTTCAAATTTCAATTTTCAAATCGAACAAAGCTGCAAATTTGAATACTTTACAAAATTTTGAAACGTCTTTTCCCGAATGAATATTGAGTTTCAAGCCGGACAAGCTATAGCAAAACTGATCCTTATGACCCACTCTATCATTTTGGTTTTTTTTGCAAAACGTGGGTAAAATCCGTGTAAATGCTCAGATACATGTGGCCAATAATATTTGAATACTGACAGGTCCGGATATTAGGTTTAAATAGCTGATTTAATTCGAAATATGAAAAAAGATGAAATCTCAATGTAATATAGTAAATTAAGAATCAGTATGAATGGTTATATGATTTTGATAAAAGAAAACTGAATGAAATAGAAAAAATTTGAATCTCAGAATTTAAAAGTAAAATAGAAGAAAAAGTGGCTTTAGGGGTTTTATGATAGGTTATTGTCGGGTATTAGAAGTAAATATGTTGAAGAGAGATATTCAGTTAATATGAGACAAAATTAAAACAAGAATTGAAGATTGTGTATGAATG